GAGACAGAATCAATCATTCAATTTTTCTTTGCCGTTATTAAAAATGTATTTATTAAATTACCGCAAGTTCTTTTCCAATTTGTATGAAAGCACCTACCGCACGATCTATATCTTCGGTCGAGTGCGCTGCGCTAATCTGAACACATATTCTTGCTTTATCTTTTGGTACCACGGGATAGCTGAATCCAATGACGTAAATTCCCTTTTCTGTAAAAAAAAAAAAAAAAAAAAATCATTCTCGTGCAATATAACAGAATAAGTCGTAAAACTTTGATAATATATGGTAGGTGTTGTATATTTTATCATTGATAGTTTATTTCTTTAAAGATTTTATAATTTATATGAAAATATATTCATACCCATCATTTTATCTGCAAATGTTGTTGCTAATTTTGCATCACCCAACATAACAGGACAAATAGGATGGTTATCGCCGCTGACAATGACTCCAGCTTTAGTCATCGCATTTCTGAAATGCTCGGTATTGCCTGCTAAACGATCCAAAAACTTTGTGCTGTCTGTTATAAGATCCATCATCTGTTAATAATGTATAAAGTAATGTTTAAATTAGAAAAGTTTAAATAGCACAATAAAAGTTTAATATCACTGCCGATCACTACGCATGCTGCCTGCTGCCCACCGCCTCTCTTCATCATCTTCATCATTGCACCCTCGTGAAGCTGGGCTTCTTCACGTATTACACAGTAGCGATGGTTTGAGGTGAATCCCTCCGGGTCGATGCCGATCGACAGTGTCTTCATTTACAGACCGGACAAGCGGCTCGAGCTTTGGAGATTCACTTTCTAATCTTTCAGATCTGTAAGAATTTGTAACGATTGTAACTGTTATTGTAACGATACTTTTTGAAGCTGCATAATAAAAAACTGATATAAAACTGATATAAAACCTTCTAGTTTGTAATAAACAAGTATTATTCTAAGAGCTGTGTTCTTTCGCCATTACCATCGATGAGTCAAATTATGTCGACAGATAATCGTATAAAATCCCATATATCACAAGTGGCATGAAGAAAATCATACTGTTTTAATAGCTGTCCAATTAGTGGATTGTTGCCTATTATTCTCTTTTGCAGAAAGAGTGACCGCAAAAACAGGCTAAAAATAGCCTCTTTTTTTCATCCTTGAATTTAGACTTCTACTTACAAGTACTAAATGATAGTCTATAATGAGTCATGAATCCTCAGAAAGTTTCAGATTTAGCTGGCTTTTTATTTTCAAGATATGGAGGGGTCAAAGTTGTTGATTTCACCAACTTTACAGGCCCACAAAAAG